AAGTGCAGTGCTCACATTTGACTACCTTTAAATGCATTAAATAGATCAAATTTATTCTTTAGTTTTTACAACATTAAATTTTACGTGTACATCCTCAGAATTTTCTAAAAATCTGTTCCCCAAAAAGTGTGTGTGCGCCCACACCCGGAAGGGTGAGGGAACACTGGAATGATCCAGGGGTGCTGCAAAAGCAGGTACCTATACTTTACCCTGGACTCTGAGGCAAACATTTGTACTGCTGGGGTGGGCTGAGGTTTTTTTTGTTTTTTCCCCTGAAATGTGGCAGTAGTGGGAACCTACGATTTAGTACATGAGAGTCCTGGAAAAATGAATTGTGTGGATTTCAATGTGACATTAGTTTTTTATTTTTGTATTTTGTCTAACTATCTGGGTCACTTTTATCAACGTAAATTAAAAGTACATTTCTCTACAACTAGGAACTACAGTAAACATTTTACTTTATGCATCTTAAAATATGTAGCAGAGTAAATAAAACATATACATTCACAAACCAAGAAGCCAACAAGAATCAAATACCAAGTTTTAGAACTAATTAATTGTTCCCAATCCCCAGGGATAAGACTATTGATTTCAAAATGCTGTCTGAAAACTTTTGTGGCTGAGGTCACTCCAGCACTACAATTCTTTAAGACTAGGTTTCATGAAGTTTCTAAGTTGATCATTACCATAAGTCACGTCTTTATAAATATCTAAGGCAATTTTCCAACTTGTTTATATGACAGCTCACAGTAAGACATATATTTATTTTACAGTGCAATTCCAGGCAAATCTGTATTATTAAAACAAAGTTTCACAAAACCATATTGTATGGATATATTCATGACATTTCCTGTTCATATTTTCAAAGGGTGGATTGGGTAGGAACTATTGAAATGAATTCTGGATGGGCTGACACTGGCAGTTTAAAAACCACGGATCTAGGCTTTGATTAACAGCACGTATGCCAAGGAACAGCAGCACACCAGAACCTACTTGATAAAACAATAACCTTGGTTAATGCCACCCAAAAGCTGTTGCTGCTGCTACATTTACATTCTCTTCACTCTTTCATTCCTATATATTCTCGCATAATAACCTTTACTTCAAACAAAAAATAGTAGGGACCCTTGAAGGTGATGTCATCCCAACAGCATCAGAAACCACAGACCACAACTTCCCAGCAAGGAGAAGCAATATAAAACTGGTAACTACTTTTTAGAGACATCTGTCACTACAGACCTGCCAGCAGCTCTGGAGACAAAGCTATGGTAATCTGCTGCTTCTCTGAAGATGCACAGTTTTGGAAACCCTAAGCAAGATGCAGTTCTCTCTGTCCAATATAGTCTTGGAGTTGGGGTGCTACCCACAAGGTCAGTGGTTTGATTCCACCAACCACTCCATAGGAGAATAAATGAAGCTGTCTGCTGCCGTAAAGATGTATAATCTCAGAAACCCTAAAGAAGTCAGAATTGCTTCATGGCCAATAGCTTGTTCTTTTAGTTTTAGTTTATAATGGGAGGTACACACACAGTAGAATAAAGTTAACAACAACCAACATACTCCTTTATGTTATTTCAGTATTTGCATTTTAAAAATTAAACCAAGTCTTATAACATACAATTTGGGGGGGTATCAGATACTACACATTGTAGTTCATTTATACTATCTTTGGGTTTTTTTGTTTTTTTTTACATGAATCCTGGTGTTGACTTGATTATGCATTCGACTGCTAACCAGTCAGCAGTTCAAAACTACTATTAGTCTCACATCCTGTGGATAAAGATGGTGCTTTCTAATCCAAAAAGTTACGGTCTTAGAAACTCACAGGGGAAGTTCTGCCCTGTCCTACAGGGTTGCAATGAGTTGGCACTGACTCGATGGCAATGGATCTGGATTAGTTTTTGAGACTGCATGAAGCTGATTTCTAACTAAGAACAGAAAATGCTCATTTCAAAAACATTAACATCCCTTTCTAACAGAAGACACCTATAGATCAATTACTAGTCACTAAAAACAAAAAGGTTGTCATCGGAGTAGAACTATCAGAGTAGAACTGTGTCCCATGGGTCTTCAGTGGCTGGGTTTTAAGAAACATTATCAGGCATGCCTTTAGAAGCAGTCAGTGGACTTAAACTTCCAACCTTTCAGCCAATCAATCACATTAACCACTGACACTACCCAGGAATTATTTCAATGATGAAGAAAGGCCCAAAGAATTAAAAAAACACCAATGAAATAATGATGGTTTATTGGACACTATTCAAGAGGGCAGATGAAGGTATCATGACTCAGGAAAAATGAAACAGCACACACCCACCAAAGAAGCCCTGCAGTAAGTGCGGGTAATCACTTTAATATATTGTAAAAATATATTGTAAAGCCCTGCTGGTTGAGTGGGTTATGCATTGGGCTATCCAAGGTCAGCAGTTCTAACCCACCAGTCACTCTATAGGAGAGACTTTCTGCTGTCATGAACATTTATAGCCTCTGGAACCCAAAGGGGTGGTTCTACTTTGTCCTATAGGGTTGATATGAACCAACTCGACAGTAATGGGTGTATATTTGTATAATAATATAAGGAACCCTGGTGGTGGTATGGGTTAGGTGATGGCCTGCTAACTGCAGGGTAAGCTGTTCAAACTACCAGCCACTCACTCATTGGAAGAAATTTGGAGCTATCTGCACCATTAAAGATGCAGTCTCCTGAATCCTATGTACTCTATATAAGGTCAATATGAGTCAGAATCAACTTGATGGCAATGTTGGTTTTTTCATACATTAACATGTTTTTTATATATTAATATATAAATTTACTTTCCTGTATTATACTCCACCCAGTCAACTCTCCAACTGTCACAGTAAAAGAAGATTAGATTTGAAACCATGGTCGGTTGACCCCAGTGCCTTAACCACTAAACTTTGTTGCTGTTGTTAGGTGCCATTGAGTTGGGTCTAACAGTACACACAACACAAGAAAACACTTCCCAGTCCTGCTTCATCCTAATTGTTCCTATGCTTAAGCCCATTGGTACAACCATTATCTCAATCCATTTCATTGAGGGTCTTCCTCTTATTCACTGCTGCTACTTTACCGAACATGATGTCCCTTTTCTCCAGGGACTGGTATGTTCTGACATGTCCAAAGTGTGTAAGACGAAGTCTTACCATCCATGCATCTAAGGAGCATCTGGTCATACTTCTTCCAAGAAGTTTTCTTGTCCTTTTGACAATTCATGGTAGTTTCAGTATTCTTCTCTAACACACAATTCTAATGCCATTGATTCATCTTCACTCTTCCTTATTCAAGATTCAACTTTCAGATGAACCATTATGAGGTACTGAGCTATAGAACAAAACCAAACTCACTGCCACTGAGTCAATTCTGAATCATAGGGACCCTATAGGACAGAGTATAACTGTCTCAGTGGGTTTCTGAGACTGTCAATCCTTATAGAAGTAGAAAGCATCATTTTTCTCCTGCGGAGTGATTGGTGAGTTCAATTGCTGACCTTACAGTTAGCACCTCAGGATGTAGGCCACTACACCACCAGAGCTTAAACACTAAGCTATAAATTCTTCTAAATAGAATTTTAAAGGAATTTCACTGCCAAGGGGTGGATTCTGATTCATAGAGATTCTATAGCACAGTGTAGATTAGCAACCCAACGAGTAACCCACTACACAACCAGGGCTCCTTCTAAATAGAATAGCAGTTCATAATTTTGACAGTGTTTTATTTTGTAAAGTCTGCAATGCTTTATAAAGTTTAAATAAAACAGATACTCAAGAGCTAGCCCCACAAAAGATTTTAAAGCTATAGCATCAAGCATTAGAGGTAAATACATTCCGTAAACGATGAAGGAATCAACCATGTCTCAAATCCATTATTGCATTTCATCAGAGAACTTCTGGAGAGTCAGTGTGATTTGGTGGTTGAACTGAGTGGGCAATAAGCATCTGGGTTTACCCTGAAACTAGAACAGATCATTGTCACTACAGGCATGACTTTTAACAGTAGTTTTGTCTTAGATTTAATAACTGAATCCCATTAAATCCAATCGGATTTAACTGCCGATATGGCAAACAAGATCTGTCAAATTCACCTATCCACGATTTAAACTTTAATTTTTCTAACATATTTTCCTTCATTGTCCAAAGGTGTAGGATGGAGAGGCTGGTGGAACAATAATCAGCTCAGTATCTTACCATGAGTTGTTTCTTACAGAAGTACTGGGCAGACTAGCACACTATACAAAATGACGGTTCCGGGGTCTCAGGTAATTATGGAATGGCTTTGACTACATCACTCCAATTAAATTTTATGAACAGAAAAAAGTTTATGAAGATTTCTAAAGGGCAAATGAGTATTACAAAGCCTCAACTCATGACTAGCAACCACAAACACACCAGCAGGACTACATAGCACCAACAAGAGTCAGTCACGGTACGGACAACATCACACTACTAATAAGGGGTCACTCCTCTTCCTCGCAGTGAAAATTCTTTATAAAATACAAGCACAAACTCTAAAAGGCCCAAATTATAATTCTGTTTGGTCAAATAGGCCCAACTGAAGAATTTATTCAGCTGTCTTCCATTCCAGTTACCACGCAATGACTGCATTGCGAAGAAATTAGTCCATGATGTAACCCAGAAAGATAGTTACAGAGTAACACCAAATAACCCATCAACTATTTGGTGAAAGAAATTACAAAAAACAAAGGGGGAGGGTATGCAAAGGAAAATACTTAAAACTAAGGAATGTTGTCTACCTCTAACCCAAGTGCCTTCTAATCTGAAAGAAAAACAACAAAAATCTAAAGGAAACAAAACCAAAAAAACAGAGGGTGTTATGTGCCCCTGTTACACATAAAAAATGTTGCCATTATTCCATAACCACATCTGTAATCTAAATATCACAATCTTAAAATATGCAATAATTATAGAACTGTGGGTGTTCATCCATGACCTTGGGGATCATGAGGGTTTCTAAAGCATACCTTTTAATCCACGCCATGGTACTTCAAGGACATGTTAAGGTAAGCCACAGCTTGGAACACTTCGATGCACCTCAAAACACCTCAGCCAGTGTATCTGTATCATTCTCCTTTCCTTTTGAGATCATAATGGCTCCGAAGAACTATAATGCTTCCATGTGAATGACAGTTTCATAATTTCAATAACTTAAAAAACAAAAGCAAAAAGTAGGACTTAAGATGTGTCAGTATGTTAAACTATTAGCGCAGAGTGTTAATTGCTGCCATGACTAAGAAAAAGCAAAGCTGTGGATGCTACTGCTATATGGACACGTAGTCCATTTTAAGGTGAACTGAATGAGCAACAACTGCCCTTGCTTTCTTGAAACCTTGCTTTGGAAACCTCAGAAATCTCTTTGCCCCCAATTAATTCTTCAGCTTACTTCTCAAGGAATGAAAACACGTAAAAAATAAAAACAAGACTTGAACATTTAGTAGGCATCAGAGTTCAGTATCTGAATGACAACACCTACTGTGTGAGGAGTGAGAACGGGAAAGTAACTCACATACCTGTAAAAAAGGGGATGGGGCAGAGGTTCCTTCAAACAATGCTCCTTCTGCTATTAATATTAAGGAACCATTTTGAAGGAGGAGCCATTAAATTTCAAAGACTTTGCTGCTAAAAATGACTTCCATTGATAGCATACGTGTATATAAATAACCAAGTTTTACTACCTTCTCTGGGACTGCCTTCTTCCCCACCTCACCCCATTCCACCTTTGTTACATAAAAAGCTTTGAAAAAAATCTCGTTATTCAAACGACACATTAGGTACACAATCTATTACGTTTTTTAAATCTTTAGAATTCGCAATGCTTTTGGTAATAATACAAGAAAGAACATTCAAGCTACACAAAGTAAAACCAACTGATAACTTATCAACAAATACATACACATTAACTGTCATAAACCAATTAAAAGTTCTTTTGAATGAATGAATGAATGGTCAGGAAAATGTTTAACAAAAGTCAGTCATAAAAAAAGACTTCTAGGAAAAAAGAGCAGGTGGGATGGGTTCTGTTTAACTCCAACCAAGTATGTGGAACAGCTCATGTAATGGTTAACAGACAGGGAATTGGAGGTTTCCAGTCAGCACCCAAGAGCACGTGCTGAAGGGAAAGTGGAAACTAGGTCCTGTTTCGAAGTGTGGGCTCAATTGAGGAAACCTCTCGGGTCCACTGTGAGAAAATGCGACTACTGAGCTGTGGCTTTATTTAAGCCTATGTGGAATGCAAGGCTCCTGGGTGGTCTAAATAGTTTGAGCTTGACTCCTAACCCCAAGGTTGGTGATTCAAACCTACCTATTACAGTGGAAGGTAGGCTTGGTGATCCACTTCCATTAACATTACAAGAAAACCCTATAGAGCAGTTCTACACTGAAACAAAGGAGGTCACTATGAATTGAAATCTAGTGGATAGTTCCTACCAACAGCAATGGGGACTGAAGATTACGTGACCCAGCTTACGCCTCACTCCACCCTGATGACACCATCATGCCCACTATGGTCCAACTTTGTCCCGCTCAGATTTGCTCTTCATGTAACAAGTTCTGGGAAGTTTCTACAATAGTTGGGTTTTGTTTTTCCTGGGGAATCTTAGAAGGTTAAGTGTAGCAAGATGAACTATACTTCTTTACTCAGGACCACAATTGATATAGTCATCTCCCTTCTTTATCCATTCTAGACTCACTTCAATGCTAAATTGGTATTTCTGCAGGTCTCAATGGCTTTCATGGTAGGATGACCCAAACCCACATCTCTCGGAGGGTCTGAAGCCCCCGGCAGTATGCCCACTCAGACTGTGGCTGTTATATTTGCCCATTTATCACCAAAACTAAACGAGAGAACCAACAGTTGTCCCGGTGAGTCACTAGGTGTATTCTTCTCTGCCCCCATTGTATAACAGTAGCTCTACCTCCTCCTGCTGATCAAGGCCAAGTAGCCTTGCCTGGACATCTACAAGCAGCCTGAAGAGACAAAAGGCAACCATAGCTTCGCATTTAATGGGGTTATTGCTGGGTCACCTGCAAAAAGCACTACTTCTCTGCAACCAGGATCTCTCAGCCTACAAAAGTCATAGCTGGAGTGGAGATGGGAAGCCCAAATTCCCCAAGTGGATCACTTGGCTGCTAGCTGAATCCTCCAGTGGAAATGGATGAAAATTTTACAAGCCTGGAAGTCCTTTGGGTAGGTCTGTTGTGTTATATTTGATAGGGCCACTATGACTCCAAATCAGCTGATGGCAATTAAGTTTGGTTTGTTTCATGGCTCATTTTAAAGTGACGCTAAGGTACCATCAAGTTGGTTGTAGCCCATAATGACCCTATGCACAACAGAACAATTGCCTGGACCTGGACCATCCCTCACAATTGTTCTTATGCCTGAGCCCATAACTTCAATGTAGTAACAGCCAAATAGTGAATTATAATAGGAATGCCCATCAGAAATTCTGATGTGCATGTGCACACTTATTTTCACTGAACCAGCAACTTAAGCAAGCTTTGTCCCTGAGAAACACTATTAATGGCAAAATGCAGTTAAGTGCCTCGCTACTGATCAGAAAGTTGGTGGTTCAAATTCCACCCAAAACACCTAAAACTAAAAGGTCTAGTGTGAGCTTAAGTTCACGCGACGGTCATAGAAAACACTGTGGAGCATGGTTCTACCCTGATACTTAAGTGCTGCCTGAGTCATAACTCTTTAGTTTTTAGCTTATTATCCAAAGTATGAGCCTCCACTGTTTTAGGAATGTTGAATCCAACTTTTCCCAATATGAATTTGCATTTCCAGTGTTTTGGAGTTTTTTAGTTACTATGTCAAACGTTTAAAACTATACCAGATTTGGGGTAATTTTCAAAGTCTCTTTCTGACAACTGTAACTGATGTTGTTGTTCGGTAGGTGCCCTTGAGTTGGCTCTAATTCATGATGCCCCTGTAACAGAAGGAAACATTGCCCTGTCCTGCTGTATTAGTGTAGGTACTTTGGAGAAACAAATCCACAGCAACTCATGTATAAGAGTTTTATGTAAAGAAAATGTGCATCACGAAAACATCCCAACCCAATGCTGCCCAAGCCCACAAGTCCAACATTAACCCATTAACCCAACACCAGTCCACAAAGTCCTCCACCTCACAAAACAAGGCAATGACGCCGACTGCAGAAGGAAAGCTGAGTCAGTGAACGAACAAGCATCTCAGCACTAGCAGGGGTCTCCACACGGCTGCTCCAGCACCCAGGGCTGCATCGGGGTAGGTCCATGTAGCTTCTCCTTGGGGATGTCTTGTAGGAAGTCAATCTTGCAAGCTGAAGCAGGGAACTGCTAAGGCAGCTGCACCCGATGCAACCATCACAAAACAAGAGACCCAAGAAGTAGAAAGGCGAGGCTCATCACCCATTTATCCCTCCGCCTTTCAATTAGCCCCACATGTGACTATCGGCCAGGCTAGCACAATTAACTAACTCACCTGCCCAATCTGCACAGTAATAGGTATGTGTAAGGCCACTGTTGCAGCCATTGTGCTACTTGATCTGATTGAGGGTCTTGCTTGTTTTCATGGACTTTCTACCAAGCACAATATCTCCTCCAGACTGATCCCTCCTGCTAGCATGTCCAAAGTAAGTGAGACAAAGTCTTGCCATCTTCGCTCTCTTGATTTGTTCATTCTTCTGGCAGTCCATGGTATATGTTCAATATTCTTTGTCAACATCATAATTCAAAAATGTGTCAATTCTTCTTCAACTAAGAGGCTATGTTTATTTCAAAAGACAGATAAGGAAACTTAATTTCTTAAGTAATTTAGACATGGTAACAGGAGGGACCTTGGAGAAGGTCAACAGGCTTATTAGACAAGGAAAAGAAAAAAAGGAAAATCCTCAATGAGATGGGTTACCACAGAGGCTGCAACAATGGGCTCTAACAGTAATGACTATAAGCATGGGGCCAGACAGTGTGTCCTTATATTGTACATAGTGTTTCATGACTTAGCACCTATAACAAGCCAAAAGGCACTTGGGACCTCCAAACTCAAACCAAACCAAACTCACTGCCACCGAGTTAATTCCAAATCACAGTAACCCTACAGGACAGGGGAGAACTGCCCCTGTGGGTTTCCAAGACTGCCACACTTTACGGTAGTAGAAAACCCCATCTTTCTCTCTCGGAGCAGTGGGTGGTTTCAAACTGCTGGCTTGGAGGTTAGCTGGATACGGAACCACTATACACCACCAGGAATCCTTCACTTTCGACCTAGCAATTCTCAATCAGCTAATTCTACTTTGGGGGAAACTCCAAAGTAAGAATTTTTCTTCCTTAAATGTATGTCCTAGTTTTCTGTTACACGAAAATAAACTCATCATCAAAGTACCTGCTGATGATGCTCTTAAGGTAGCAAGAACCCAGCGCTCAACCAGAGGCAATCGGGTTTCTTTTTTCCTAGAGTTGTAGTTGACACAGCATGACAAGGTAGAACTTAAATATAAACGAATATATATACACCCCCACCACCACCACCAAAGTATCCTTTTTCAAATGGATTCATGTCAGCAAATTTGAGACAAACACATGTTCTGCTGTCACCTCTCTAGGGGAGAGGGAAAGGGAGAGGAAGATGGAAGAATAGTGACTCAAAGGACTAAGCAAAAGATGGAAGAATAGTGACTCAAAGGACTAAGCAAAAGATGTTAGGGAAGAGAAAATAGTGAATTAAGCAAAATCATCAACAATATGGAAGCTTCCTTCCTTCTTAGGATTTGACAAGGCACCACAGAACAAATGCTAAAGAGCCTAAATCAAATTCACCTCTATTTTTTGGCCTTCTTTAGATATATTTTTAAATTAAAATATTTGTGAGCGAATTAGGTCTCTATTGTTTTTCTCTGATATCTTAGTTGTTGTTTAGGTGAATTTCTTTGTGCATATTTTTTTTAAAGTAAATTTTGTTTTTTTCAATGATGATGAGGTAATAGATGATAAAGAACATGCAGTTCGGGTTGATGCGTTGGAGCCAGGTCACAAAGGTTAAAAATCCATTAGATGTGTAACTTCTGACGAAGCACAATGTCCATGAAGGTAATTCCCGGTAGTACTGTCATAGTAATTCTTCAATGAGATAGTGTACTTGCCACCATAG